AACTTAATCCAGACAAGACAGACTTTCTCCTGGTCAGTCAAAGAGCTGCTCCAAGAGGAAAGAGCTGCAATAAGGGGCCAGGCTGGGCACAGCTTTGCTATCCTTCTGCAAGCAGGTGAAGACTTTTCTCTTCAGACAAGCTTTCCCTAAATCAGCGATGGCAAAACTATGGCACTTATGCCACATCTGGCACGCAGAGCCCTCTCTGTGGGCACCCGAGTCACCATCGAGAAATACTTGCCCGTCCTCCGATCCCGGATTTTGGCACTCCCCTCTGCTGGTGCAGTGGTCCAGTGGAGGGGTGCAATGGCACCCATTACCGGCCCAGCCCAAAGGTGGATTGGAGGACCGGTAAGTATTTCTTTGTTAATACAGCCCATAGGGAAAAAAAGTGCAAGCATTTAACCCTTGCAATGCAGGAGCAGTTTTTTTTTCTAAACTAAAACCTCAGTATTCGGGTTTTAATTGCAGTGTTGCCACTTTGAAATAAATAAGTTGATTTTGTGTTGCAGTTTGGGCACTCGAGCTCAAAAAGGTTCACCATCACTACCCTAAATGATTGGCCAACTGTTTTTTTTTTTAATGGATTGTTGTGCCTACCATCACTACCCTAAATGATTGGCCGACTGGTTTTTTTTAATGGATTGTTGTGCCTTACTGCTTTGAAAGTATTTTTGGTGTTGCTTTTGTTTATCATTTCTCACGGTGGTATTTGTTTGATTCCTTTTAAAATATTTGTACACTTTTATGTTTTTAGCTTTTAAATATTGTGTTTTTTTTACTGATGTAAGCTGCCTTGGGTCGTTTTAAAGGAGAAAGGCAGAATAAAACTATTTTAAATAAATAAATATTTGTGATTCAAATTTTAGGCACACAATTCATGCCAGACATAACTTTTTCTTCTGAGTGATATAGCTGTTGTTGATAAATAGACTATTTAGTATCTTCAAAGTGATGAAAAGCCAATAAATCTGTCATGAAATTACTACAGGAAGATGGTATGAGTGATGGTTATAGATATATCATTTTACAGAAAAACTCACTTCCCCAAGAAAGGGCTACTAATATCTGGATGTGTCCCAGAAATTAAAAAGCAAAACAGATATGTGAATAGATTTTATTTTAATCTACATGTCCTAATGCCACAGGACAAATCGGAAAATCTTTCTAAAACTTAAATACTAATTTGAAAGGTAATTCAAATGCTTCCTCTCTGTTACAGTACAACCTTTTCTATTTCTACTCATATGCAAGTCAGAATGAGTTAAATGGGGTTGCCCCCAAATAAATCTGTGTAGAGATACTGCTTTAAAGACAGAATTCCCTGTTATATAAGCTATAAGGGGTCAGTTCTATCCAACAGTACAGACTGAGTGAATGAATTTCAGTTTGTAGTGTACATAATTTTTTTGTATGGAAGCTTTAAACATTTTTAAATTGCCCAAAGTACTGCATGCTTTTTTTAAAAAACACCATGTCAAAGATCTATCTGCAGAAAAGTTAATAATGGTTAATTAAGACAGAACAACACATTTTTTCATGCAGGAAAAAAAATGCAATTATTTTCTTAAGGAAAAAGAAGTCATAACATAAACCTATGTCAGCAGGGACACAGAAGCAAAACAGTTGAGGGTTTAAAAATGTCCAGATTATTTCTCTCACTCTTATAACAATGCACAGAGGAAAATACTTCTAAAATATTTGAACAATATGAACAGCATCAACATTGGAAATTAATTACATGTCCATATCTATGTAGGTAAAAAGTCTCATCATGACCATTGCTGCCCCCCACTGCCAACATGGAGTCATTTCAGTTTCCCTTCTGTAATTCGGTGGCTATGTAGGGAAGGTTGCAAGGAATACAATGTCTAGGATTTTACAAGGAAAAAGATTAATGAATGCGTCTCTGCATAAAGTCTTGTATGATTTAACTATTTCTTTGTTTCCTTGCTTATACATGTGCTGCTGTCTTAAAATAAAGCATTGGCTAACAACATGTTTTACCTTTACCAGGCTCTGTAGGTATAATTTCAGAGCAGACATGCATATTTGGCACAATTTCAGGGAGCAGATCACGCATAAACCACTGAGCGCCAGTGTCAGAAAGGAATTTGTGAAGCAGTCTGGGACTTACACATGCAAACTAACCCCTTGAGCTTTTGTTTTGCCTACAGTAGATAAATGTGTACTGTACTGATGAAAACATATGGAGTCTTTGAACTTCTCAAAATATTTTACAAGTATGATTGGAGGGGAAAGCTCTTAGCTATACACAGAACAATGCCATGGCTTATTCAAATGAATACATAAAAGACTAGCTGTTTTGGCCATTGCTATTTGTATGGCCACTGTGTTAAGAGGCACAAACCACAGCATCCTACAGTAGAGGATCTCAGTGTGCAGATCTCCTCATTAAGGAAAGCTGGAATTTTGACTGGGAGTGTTACCAGTGACTGCCACATTCCTGAAGCTCTCCTATAAAAGCATAATGTCAACAAAGGAGACTGAGTGGTGATGTAATGTCTGAGGACATGCCACAGAGTCAAGATAACTTTCCTGCTTTATTCAGAGTCTCACAGAACATACATTAACTCTTGCTTGAAAAAGGCAGTGGCCTGTGATTGGGAGTTTTGCTAAGCCAATGCACAGTAAGAACTGGTTTAGGAAATGACGAGAAGAATCAAGGCAACAAAAGAACAAAGCAAAGGTTTTTTTAAAAAAACATGTTTTAGGAGTTCCGAAGATTTGTGTTGGAATAATATCCTTTTTTCTTTTCTGCTTTTACATAATAGACAACATCAGCTGAAATAATTAAAACTTTCCTAGCAGAAGACATTTGGGTTCTTCAACACTCTGTCTAACTAGGAGGCGCAGGTAATTATTAATTTCTTCTCTCCTCCTCCTCCCCACCATTCTGTATCTGGTGGGTTTTTGAAGGGGGGGTTGTTTGTTTGCAACCCAGATTTCTCCCCTTTACAGAAAAAGGAAGCAAATGTTTTCCCTTTAAGAAAATGGATGTGCTGCTTGTGTAACTCCCTAAAGTCAGGTCACAATACATGACTCTGTCATGACCCAAAAGCTAATTATCAACATCCTTAGCAAAGCAATTAGCATGTCATCCTATTATATTTCTCAACATTTGCACCATCTATCTGAAATCAACATGGGAGCAGAACTGGTACCCCAACTGTGCCCATGCCACACCCATGTTAATTCAAACATTAACAACCACACACCTCAGTAACTAGCCAATGACATCTTGTTATAGTGCATAAATCTAATTGCCAATTCCAACGAGAGTAGTTAGGATTTATGTGTGTGTTGACTGACCATTCAGTTATTGGTTCAATTACTTCACTCCAGTTGAGACCAGCAGCTTGATTTACACAATGTCTGCAGCTCTGCCCAATTTTAAGTGTATAACAGAATAAGGTGAACAATGGACACACACTTGCAGCAAACAGCTGTACACAGCATGCCATACGACGAAACCTACATGGGCTACTTTAAAATAATCTTCATTGAGCTTTACTCACCATAGTTCCAGTTCTATTTTGTGCTTTATTACCACAGGATTTTTTCCTTTCTTTCTATCTTACAGTGGCAAATTCTAAGATTATGTCAACTGAAGCTGGGAGTTCAATTCCCAGCTGTGCCTCCTTGACTGGGGCTGGATTCAACGATCCATAGGGTCCCTTCCAGCTCTGTATTTCTATGATGATGATGGATAGCTCAGGGGTTTAGGTATCTGGCTGCAGAGCCAGAGGTTGGGAGTTTGATTCCTCACTGTTCCTCCTGTGAGAAGAATCAGATTGTGTGGTGTTGACCAAGGTGCACAGTCCCAAGGTGCTCCCCCTTGAAGAAGGGAAAGGTAAACCACTTCTCTCTACCTAGAAAACTCTGAAAAGGGTTGCCGTAAGTCTGATTTGACTTGATGGCACGTGATGATGATGATAAAGCTATTGTAGCATTGGAACTAGTCATTTTAGTGTCACCATTTGTGACATGGGCTGAAATCCTGCTGCTCCGTCACATAGGGAGAAGGCAAATGGTGTAGCATTCACATGCTTCCAGATGACAATTAAAAAATTAAATTAATTTGAGATTCTTGAGCATGCACCAAGCCTGAGACTAGCAGCAGTGACTCTTTTAACTGCCAGCTGGAAGTGAGTGAATATTATACCATTTGCCTTCTGCCGGTGTAAGAAAACAGCAGGATCTCAGTTACTATATTTATGCAAGAGAGCTTCAAGGATGCAACAGAATGTTGGACTTTGACCAGAGATACCAAAGTTCTCTTTGGTGGAATGTGTTAGCGCTGTGGGTTAAACCGCAAAGCCTCTGGGCTGCAAGGTCATAAGATCAGCAGTTCAAATCCATGCGACGGAGTGAGCACCAGTTGCTTGTTCCAGCTCCTGCCAACCTAGCAGTTTGAAAGCATGTAAAAATGTGAGTAAATAGGTACCACCACGGTGGGAAGGTAATGGCGTTCCAGGTCTAGTTGTGCTGGCCACGTGACCACAGAAACTGTCTACGGACAAACGCTGGCTCTAAAGGGGATGAGCACTGCCCCCTAGAATCAGACACGACTGGAAAATTTACCTTGACCTTTACCAAAGTTCTCAGCGTCAAATAAACCACGTGAACACAGAAACTGTCTACGGACAAACGCTGGCTCTAAAACTTGGAAATGGGGATGAGCACTGCCCCCTAGAATCAGACACGACTGGAAAATTTACCTTGACCTTTACCAAAGTTCTCAGCGTCAAATAAACAGCTTAGTGGAGGAGCCTGTGCAGGTCATCATCTATTTTACAAGGTTGACTTGTTCAGTAAATATTTTGGTTTGCACTCTTGTTACATATACTAACTTCTTTTGTTTTAAGTGAGGGAAAAATATAAAAGTTGCCCAATCTTATGTTGTAACATCTTGTGTAAAGCACTCTGCAAATGCCTTCTTAAGTAGCTTTTGAAAAATAGTAACTGATATTCTTTACCTGATCACGGTCACCTGCAAAACAGCAGCTCTTCATGGTACAAGAATTAAAGTAACCCTGGTTGTCAAATTGGAAGACAGGCAAACGGGAATGAATATCGTAAAGGACTGGTGGCAGCCGACGTCTGAGAGCAAGCAACTGTGTTCCATTGCTGTTAAACCGCACACTCATGGCACTCTGAAGTGACAGATTCCCACCATAACGGAGCAGAGAACTAGAAAACAGGAAAGCCGAAAGAATCAGACAGGTTACCACAAACTAAATATCATAAAACATGTATCTGCCACTCTCTATTATCAGAAAATGGCAACAAAGAAAGTTTAAGGGAGGTAGAATGTCTCCACACTGGATTTTGTTCCAAGGGCGATAATTCTCAGAATATTGTAGACATTTTGGGGGGAGGGGTGGACAGAAAGGGAAAAATTGGGAAGCTGACAAAAACACCTGAGCTGTGCACTATGGGATTAACTTACAAAAGGAACCATATCAGGCAAAATCCAAAGGAATAAAACAAAACAAAGACAAAAATATGTGGCACCTTAAAGACATAATACTATATTTTAAGGTGAGCTTTGGTGGACAAGTCCACTTCGTCAGACATATGGAAACAAATTGAAATGCTTGATGGAATACCAAAACACACTAAATATCTATTGGCTCTAAGAGTCTTTTTTTCTGAATTGGGCATTTGATTACATCTCACATGTTTTATTTGCATATTGGTATTTCATCCAGCATTTCATTTTTTCCATATGTCTGATGAAGTGGACTTGTACACCAAAGCGCACATTATAATGCAACAGCTAGTCTTTAAAGTGCCGCATGTTTTTGTCTTTTTTGTTTTATATTGTTTCAGTTCTTTGAATCTTGCCTGATATGTTTGTACAGACTAACACAGCTACCTCTTTTGAAAGGAAACATGTGTACAGTACTTCAAACCCCCAATTCAGTTATGCATCTTTGCACTCCTTCTGGAAATACAGGAACATAGGTTGATCATAATTAACTAGTCTATCTATTGCATAACTTTGTGGGACTAACCTACCATTTTTTAATTTAATTTTATTTTAGTTTTCTTGACAATCCCATGAATGGAACAATCTATTTCATCTGCAGCTGCACTTTCTATACTACTGACAAAGGGTCACAAACCCCTTGCATCAGCAGTAAGTCTGATGTTTTCAAAGGGCTGGTCTCTGACTTGTGTAACTCTAAGCCAAAGATCACCGTGCAAATGTTCTATATTCCAAATATGGAACCATTACACTCCATGTTTGTGAACAAAGTTTTTCCCCATTTCATCGCCTCTTGATCTGATTTTTTTTCTTTTTATTGAAGAGAAAAAGCAATATAAAATTTAAAAAGCTCTAACCAAATACCTGTAGTTAGCTTAGGGCTAGAGCTACAGTCACCTGCATCCCCACTTGCAAAAAGGTACAGACTGAAGTAAACTGGATTTGATTCCAATAGATACAAATAAGGTTGGTTTCTATATTCAGAGGTAAGCTCCCTTTATCAGTCTCTTTTGCAGGCAACTGCATATAGAGGTTGTATACCAAGAACCTGACAGCATCTTGATGATTCAAATTTACCTTGACAGAATAATTCAGATTATCCACTCCATGCATCAAAATAAAATTGGCTTTCACCTCTGAAAACCTCTGCCATTTCTTTTCATTTTTCTATAAGGTACCCCAGAATGATTTTGTGGCAGACATTCACAATGGTAGTTGTTTTTATAAGAAGGATCCTATGGATCTACACCACACTATCTAATTATTACTATCAATAAATTATCTTGTAAAATGTAGATGTGGTTGCCTGTATTCATGTAGTATTAAGTTAGGAACAAAGTCTTCCCTAACATTATTAATGAAAGTCGCAATACAATTAATTATAAATAAGAACCCAGAAAAACTTTCAGACCGAGCATGATTAGAATATTAATTAAGAATGGTAAATAATTTATCAATTGCAACTATGCTCTTTATGTTTAGCAAAAGGAAAAAAATAGAAATAAAAAAGGAAAAAAGCAAAGGACAACATGTAGCACTTTTTAGACTCTGAGAACAACAAATCTGTTAGTATTTTATGTGTCAGGACATTTTTGCTTTTTTACTTATCTCCATCTTTCTTCCATTTTTTTACCTTTAATTTTGTCACTATTCTGAGATAGTCTGTCATGGCTACCTCTACCTAGTCAATAAGAGTCACCATAACCAAAGTTTACAATTCATCCAAAAGGAAGCTTAAAAGACAGAGAAAACCAGAGAATATGCCTTTTTCCTTCCCATTTTGAACACTGCCCCTCAATACCCATTGCACTCTAACCTCTTAATTTTCCTCCTAAAACTACTTTTAATAGCTTCAGCTTGTTCTTAACATGCCAGTAAGTCCATGGTCCTACCACCCCCCAAAAATGTAATCAACAAATACAACTTTAAAACCTTTCAGAAAAATGCATTCTCCTACTTTCTTCAGCCTCCCTCTAGCTTTGAAGAGGTCAGGGAAGCTGCAGTCCACAGAGAGAAATGAAGGACATGAAGGTGCACTAAGCATCTTGCCAAGAGCCTCCTTAACCCTAGTAGTTGTAGTACTACTGCTTCTCTTACACAGAGAAAACCACTCCTTTCCCATTGTCTATCGCTTGCTTATCTAATGCTCTTGCAGACAGACTGCTAACTGTTGAAACACCATGTTCTCCTTTGCTTTTAATAGTAGCTCAATCTGTAGACACTGGCACTGATTATGCTCATCTTTGTGCCACCATCATCAGCTAGTGACGGCATATCAGATTTCCTGTTGGAGACACAAAAACAGGTCAGGCCTGCGCAAGCACATCAGGCAAACCCCAAAGAAAACTAAAATAAAAAACAAAAAACATCTGTTATATTTTAATGTGAGATTTTTGGACAAGTTTATTGCACATGTGAAATGTAACCATACACCCGTCTCTTAAAGCCAGGAAAAAAAATTTACTGTGTGAACTCTGTATTTCACCTCATATGTCTGAAGAAGTTTACACTGACATATTATAGTATTTAAGGTACCACAAGGTTTTAGTCTTTTAAATTTATTAATTTTTCCTTTGGGTTTTGCCTGACATGCACTATTAATGTTATTAAATTGCACTGCGACAGACCTGGCTGAATGAGTTACATGTAAATTAATGACTTTGGAAGATTACCGCAATTTCAGGAAAGAACAAAAGAACAGAGAAGTTTTATCAGTTTCCAGTTTACAATATAGTGAAATAAAAATGATATTAGAAGAACCCAAAGCCTGGAATACCTCTTTTAAAAAAGAACACTCACTAATAGGCAACTGTAAGCTGTTTCAGTAAGCTAAGGTAGTATTTGACACCACCAGATCTCAGCATTTGGAGCTGTATAAGAAAGATCCAGTCTAATACTAACCTCAAAATCACAGAGGAGTAATACTTTTTAAAGAACCAACTAAATAGTTCATTAAAAATCCAAGAAAGATCCAGTCTAATACTAACTTCAAAATCACAGAGGAGTAATACTTTTTTTTAGAACTGTTACATACAGCACTGATGGTACCCCAATAGCAAACTTATTCCATCAGTGGTTAGCCGGATGAAGGTAAAATGTTGCTTCAATGAAAGTAAAAACATCTAATTCTTTATTATTTGTAAGCAGATGCCACATTCCAGTAGACAGATGCCATTTCTCAGTTTTTAAGGGGTCACCTAGTCACAAGTTGACTGAAATCTAACTTAGTCTCAAGCCATTTCGAAGATACAGTCAGAAAGATAATATGATGCCGTACTGACTTGTTTAGTGGAAGCCAAAAAAGTCCTGGTCTAGAAAACAGCCCCAAAATATTATATATTGTGTCCTTAAGACCAAATGCTGCGAGTATTCACTAATAAGTACCCTCCTAGTTCAACATGTGTGACTATGCATTGTCCCTGGAAACCTCACTATTAGACACCACCTAGTGGCAGAGGTGTCTCACAACTGCTTTGCCTGAAACACTCAAGCTGGTCAGAGCAAAAATATGTAGCTCACAGTCCCAAACAAGGCCAGGCATTCTCTGTGCAATCTTCTGAAATCATGCAATGGACTGGGTTAGGCCACAGGGTATCTTTATAACATCTGGGGTGTTCTTTTGTGCAAAAACTATCTTGCTTGGCACATTATATCCGGATACAGGATTTTCACAGTTTCTGGTCAAGTTTGTACTCTCTTTTCTGATAAACTATTCTAATTTTTCTTTTTCTATCTCATGAAGAATCTAGATGTAGTAGTCAGTGAAAATACCTTTTAAGTTTTATTCTGTGGTTATTCAGAGCAAAAAAGAAAGCCTGTCTACTTCCTACAAGTACCTCAAGCAATGACTTTACCTCCATCTTTCCTGCAACTCCACCTTCCCTGCAAGAAACTGCAACATATTTCATTTATATCTTTTCTCTAGTTAATACGTTGCGGCTTAAGCGATTGACTAGTAGTAATTCGCTGCTACAATTTACATCTCTGCATTTATACTGGTGTAACTACTGTAACAGGATTCTGACCAATATATTAAAAACCTTAACCAGAATTCCAGTTTAACCAAGATCTGAAAACCTGCTTTACTGTTTGCTTCAAATCTTGGTTGCTGCTACTGCTGCTGGTTATTACATTTATACCCTGTCTTTTCAATACAAAGTAGTATTCAAGGCTGCTAAAAATCTTTGTAAAACAATTAAACAAAACAAATATAAGCATAAAATTATGAAAATCAAAATCAAGTGTCATAAAAGTCATTAAAACAATTAACTGTACAAAGGTAAAATATTCCAGTATATCAATTTTAAAAGGATGTGTCTCTTCATGCTCTTCCTTAAAAACAGTCAAAATCTGGTTCTAACTCTAAAGGACAGCATAAGACTGAGGAGAAGGGACTCTAGGAAATAGCTACAGTTAAGTTCTAAAAGTGCAAATAAAAGTTGGTGATAAAACATGCTACGACAGTAGAGGCTAAAAGGAAAATCAGATACTCCGCATTTTTAAACTAAATAATGAACACTTTCACTTCCAGCTGAAAAGAGATTCATTTGAAACTGTGCTTCCATACAAAACCCAACCTCCCTGGCTAGTATCTCACAATCCCTATATATTCTACCAATGCTTATCAATGAGCGTATGTACAAATGTACAAACATACAGTGTGATTCCACACTACGTTTTACAGAAGATGGCAAATTAC